CCGCGCCCCCTGGCGCGTCGGGCTGGTCGGAGGGCGAGTGGGAAAGAGAGGCGGCTACCCTCCGGAGCCAGAGCCGGCCTCCGACTTGCCCGGCTGGCAGCGTAGGGCTGACCTGTTTATAGAACTTGCTGCTAAGAAAACATGTAAAAACACACCCCAGCGGGGGCAGAGGATGAGCGCGCCCTCCACCCCACCCTCTCTTTGCACAAGGGAGTTCTCTCCCGGCTCCGTTCCGAGCCCTCGGAGCCTCCTTTCCTCCCAGGAGGCCATCCCCTCCCCACGGCGTCCCGTCTCTCTGCGAGGCGGCGAGTGGAGAGGGAGGCTGCCATCCGGGCTGCGAAAGACGATCGGGTGTGGGGCGGAGGTTGGGGGGTTGGGGGTAGGTGAGGGGCCCCTCACTCGCTCCCTGTGGTCTTAGTTTTCGTTCCTAAGGGGCCCGGCCCGCCGCGCTTTCTTCGTTCCCATCCGGGCGCCCGCCTCGCCCCGCCCCGGTAGCTGCGGAGGGAAGGCAGGTAACCCGCGCGCAGAGCCAGTGCCGCGGCTCGCGGGTTCCGGGCCGGGCCGGGCGGGCCCGCCTGTCCGAGGCCCCTTTGCCCCTCCGCGGGCCAGCGCGGCCTCGGGGAGCAAGAGAGGCCCCCGCCCGCCCACCCCGGGCGGCGCGGAAACCCCAGGTAGCGAGCGTCTTCCCGGGCTGGGCGCGGGGCGAGGCCTGGAGCCGCACCGAGGCGCGTCCAGCTTCCGTATTTGGAACCCGGGGCGGGAGGGGGGCGGCGGAAGGCGAAGCCCCGGGGCCGAAACCCACGCCAGAGGGCCTCGTGGGGAGCCCTGCGTTGTCGCTGTCCCCCACTCCTTCGTGGGGCCCGAAGTTTTCCTTCTCCAGAGGAAAGGAGGAAAGGGCTCGGCGAGGGCAGGTTCCCAGATCGGAAAGGCCGCCCGCCCGCCGCCCTGCGTTCTCGGTGTTTGGCTTGGAGATGAAATGAACGGAGGCCTGGGCGCCAGCAAAAGCCACTCAGGAGAAGCGCTCTCCATTCCAAACATTCTCGCTTTCTATGTGCGCGCGTCTCTGCCTCCCTCTCTCTCCTTCCTCTACAAGATAAATACAAATGGTAGAGGAAAGAGAAAACTTGCCGGCCCTCCTGGGTTCAAAGCCCAAGCCGGAGACTCTTCCAGACTTCTGGGACCTCCCAGGCCACTTTCACCCCGACCCGAAGCTCATCTCGGGGGACAGAGCACGCCCCCAGCCCCGGGATCTCTCCCCGGATATTGTACACGACTCGGCTGGGAAGGCTGTGCTGTGTGCTATTTGCAGGCAGGGTTGGGAGCAGGGCACCTTCCACTTCAAGTCCCATTGCTGCGGCCTCTGGTCTTTCACGCCGGGGAGGAGGCTAGGAGTCGAGGAGG